AAATGATAAAAGTTTAGAAAATCTGACCTAGGAGGAAAGGTTTTAAAAAAACTAGGTATATTTAGTCTTTTAAAAAAAGACAAGTGAGGGGGGACCTGATAAATCTTCAAATATGTTAAGGGCTGTGATCAATTGTTTTCCATGTCCACTAAAACAAGAAGTAATGGGCTTAATCAGCAGTAAGGAAGATTTAGGTTAGACATTAAGAAAATCCTTCTAAATATAAGGGTAGCTAACTGGAATAGGTTATTATCAAGGGAGGTTGTGGAATGCCTGTCATTGGAGGTTTTTAAGAACTGGTTATACAAACATCTGTCTGGGATAGTCTAGGTATTCTTAGAAAATAAGATCTTATAATTAGAAGTGTTAACTATAGGCAGCTCTACCAGCTCCACCTACAATATAGAACACAAGGGATCATCTTGGATTGATTTTAATCCTTGGGCCACAATTGAGGGATACTTGCATTACTTAACGTATAACAACTGATATAGGCAATATTTACCACCTAATCAGAATTGTATGTCAATCTCTGAAGATAAACATTAATGTTTTCCATTGCACATCATTAGGAATTTAACAAATGTAACAGTGATAGCTCTCAGAGGGCGATATTCAAACATTAGCTTTCATGGCTCTACTCTTCCCTTTGTTGCAGTGCCCAAAATACCTAAACAAATTGATCTAAACAAATATCTACAAACTGAGTTGAAAAATAGTTCTCTTTAGTAGAACTGGTAAGACAAACTTTGGAATCCTATTTTGTCAAAATATGCAGTTCCATAAAAATCTAAATGCTTTGCAAAACTGGGTTGATTTCACCAATACTTTGGTTTGGAAGGAAACTGGAGGAAGAAGTTTAAGTTTGAATAAAACGTTTCAATTGTTAAAATGTTTAATTTTGATTTGTTATCTTGTATATTGTATAATACAAGATTAAAAAGTCTAAATCAAAATTAAACATTTGTCAGCCCAAAATAAGTTACAATTTTCCTTTGGAAAACTTTGCAATTTGTTTATGATTTAGAAAAGGGACAATTTTAAAATCTAAGTCTTTAAAAACTGAGCTTCCATCCTCTGCAGAGTTTGGCTTCATAGGGCCAAATTCTTTATAGAGCCAAGCAATGTGCCCTGGGAAGAGGGGTAGGAGGTAAACCCTGCGACAGGATAATAGATGTTCCTAGACTGAGCCCATAAAGCCCTATGCAGGGGTTGTCTGAGAGGCTGGCCCATATTCCAGCCAGATTCTCCTTTCTTGCCAGGGGAAGGGCGGAAGAAGAACCAGCCCTTTTCCAGGGAGCGATTACCCCAGAGAACTCCCCCTTAGTGCAGCCACTGGGGAAGTACAGAGGGTAAATGAAGGAGAGTGGGGCTTTGGGGTAGGTGGGTGGGGAAGTGCTAGGGAGTTCCGCCTCCTCTTACACCTAGAGTGAACATCCAAAGCCAGATTGTGGCCTATATACATAATAGAATTTAAAAAACCTAATGCCATTCTGCTAACAGCACCACAGAAGCAGATGGGGGGAAGAAAGCAATTCCCAGTAAGTACTTGTATCTTTCAGAAGGTCAGATTAGCATTAAATACTTGAATAGTTCAACACTTTTACTTGAGCTGCAAATTATTTAGGTTCATTGTTATTTGTTGATCCTATTCAAGATCCAATTCAGCCCAATTATAGCTGATAATTTTCATAATCTAGTGAATGAAATATATTGATTCATTTTGTGCAGACTTCACTCTTAAGTGCTAATTTTTACTGTGGTTTAACTGTATCTAAACATGCCCTTAAAAAAAAAAATCCTTTAGAGAGAAAATGTATTTTAATTCTGGGTTGGAGAACATGAGGATTTCTGACATTTTTAATCTGTGTTCTCCTTCCCTCCCCCCAGCAATTTTATGCCCCACCACAATATCTTCATTCTGCTCAAAGTAGAACAGATGGGGCTCTCCCCCTGAAATTGAGTGCCACAAGAACTTGCTTTTATTTGGAGTGGACAGAGGCAAGAGGAAAGAAGCAGGGGGATTTGAGTGATACAATCCTTGCAAGTGTCATTAATACCACTCCCATCTCATCCCTGCTCATGATCCAAACTCTGATCTGGACGCTAACACAGTACAAATTTAGTTTTGTTTCCCCCCCCAACCCCAATGAGCAGTTTTTCTCCCCACTTCTTTGTAATTTTGCTTAGAAACTCAACATTTGTCATTGTTTCCTTTTTCATGTGTCCCAAAAAATACTATTAAGTTATTGGGCTCGGTACAGGAGTACCTGAATGAAGTTCTATAGCCTGTTATACAGGAGGTCAGACTAAAAGATCTAATGGTTACTTCTGGCCTTCAAATCAAGGAAATAACAAAATAACCCAAGCAGAATCAGGGCAGCAGAGATCTGAAGAGATCATTTAGGCCAGTGCATGCAGAGTGCTACATAGACAACAATTAACCTGTGTAATGTTGCTGAATGGATTTGCAAGCTGATTGTAGTTAGAGCTGGTAGGGAAATTTCCAGTGGAAAATGCAGTTTCCATTAAATCCCACAAACATCTCAATTTTTAAATAATTTTCCTTTAGGAAAATCTAAACCAAATATTTCATTTAGGGTCAGCTCAATCTGAATCAGAATATTTTGTTTTCTTAAACTGTACAAAAGCTTTTTGTTTTGAATCGGTTCAACAAAACTTTAAACTGCATTTCCCTATCAGTGCATTGCCTTATGGGAGTTGAATTTCAGGACTACATTCTTTCCACTGGGCCAAGCTCCCTGGAAGACTACATCTTTGATAATGGATTGTGGGATTTCCCTCTGACGAAGCTCTGCATGGCACATTATGGGGATGCCGTCCAGCGCCATTGAGAGCCTGGCACATAAGGGAGAATAGGCACATCAGGCTTCTGAACTACATTCTACACCAAAATAGGAAAATGCAGTTTAATGTTGAAATGACTCAAACCAAAGCATTTTGGGTCAAATGAAAAATCAACTTCAGGAATGTCTAAATATTTTTGTTCTGACACTTCCTAACTTTTTTTTTCATTTTTGTTAAGTGCATTTTTGAAATTTCAGGGTTTCAGCCACTGAGAAAATGTGGGTAACTAGTGCTTTAACCCCCAATTCAGGAAACCACTTAAGCATGTGCTAAAGTTCTACTGGAACTTTATGCACTTATGTACTTTCTTGAATAAGAACAACAGTATTTTTTAACTTTATGGTCTTTTGGAAGCAAACTATAAAATCTTTCCTCTAGATAAGAAATCTTTAGAATTTTGGATAATTTCATTTGAAAGTTTCTTAAAGTCTACCGCTGTGTCTCACTTTAAGCCAGTCGTTAGCACTTGTGACCTGTGTTCCCTCTAAGCTGCATGGTTGGGCAGTTGCCTAGGAGAGATTCAAGTGCCATGCAGTTGATGAGCAGAGTACACACATCCAGCAGCAGGTGTTCAGGTGCCCCTCCCCCAACTGCTCTGCAGCCACATTGCTCCTGCATCTGCTCCCAGGACCTTCCTGCTGGCTGGGCAGAGTGGGAGGTGGAGGGGGGTGCTGATGTCAGGGTGTCCCCCCTTCCCTGTACTCCATCTCTGCAGAGCAGAGGAGAGGGGAAAGCCTGGCTCAGGACTCAGAGCTGCTGCAATCTGAACCTGTGCAGTCTGAGACTTCCCCAACAGCCAGTTCAGTCAGTCTCGCTCTCACTCTCACACACACACCCTTTCTATCTCTCCCCCTCCCTCCTGCCCATGTACCCCATCTCTGCAGAGCGGGGGAGGGGAGACAGAGCTCAGGAAAGAACAGGAGAGGTTTCAGTGAGTGCCTTACAGAGCACGAACGTGATCTTAAACTTCCTCACACAGTGTCTCTGGGTCACACACACATTTTCCACCACATACTTGTATTGTTACTTCTTGGTACTTCCTGCAAAGCAATGCACATATTCTCTGTAATTTTATTCTTTGAAAGTGTGTTGTTTTAGTGTTTTGACTTGTCTATGCATTTCATAATTTTTATTTCTCTTACACTTAAATTTAATTCTTTGAGTAGTGAGTTCTAAAATGCCTAGCCTGTCCTGGCTGGAGTAATTATCCTTATGGTAACTTTTAAAAAATATTTAGGTTTTTTTGTTTCTACTGGTGGTGCACATCTGCACATATCAAAATTTATTCCACACATGGATGGAAAAAATTAGAGGGAACATTGCTCACATTGCTCAGGACTATTTCTTAGTCAGTTCCTTTCTGCTTTTTTTGTATTTTTCTTTCCCTGCAAGCCATTTTACCCATCTTTGACACTTTATTTTTATTGATATTCTTTTCATCAAGTTTCATCCATTGAAACTGGTGAGATGTTAAGTGAATCAGATATTATCTCCTGCTATAAAACTGTTTAGACTGCTGAGAAAGTGAAGAAAAACATTACTGGGCTGTTACAAGAAAGTTGAAAGTTCCAACTTTTGAATCTGTCAGTCTTTAAAAAGACTTCTCAGAATGCACACACACATGAATATACACTGTATACACAGACTTATAGGCATACACATTAGGTTAATCAGGGTTGGGGACAATTTTGTTGTCCAATCTTTTTATATTAAAAAAAGAATTCCATAGGAAAACTTTATGCATTTCTCACCACTTCCCCCCATCTTGAGCTACAGTCAAAACAAAGCACTTTTTAAATTGTCACTACATCAAATTATCCCATTCTGCTTCTCATCTAGATTAATACCAGATTCTATCAGAGGTCACAATTTAAAATTTAGCTTTCCATTTTCTCTCGTTTTCAGATTTCTTTACTTTGAACATCACTGAGGAAGAAAATTCCAAATGTCTTAGCTATAAAAGGATGACTCTTGTTTGAGGGGGAGACAAATCCAATAGTAACACAAAGCTCTAGAAGCATAATTGTGGAGATTAAGCAACAGCACAGCTTCCTTTCTTCAGCATTGTAACTTTTCACAGGGATGATTTACAGTGGAATAAAGAAAAGAGGCAAAGTGAATGTTGAGAGAACTGGATATTTAGAATTATTTATTTTATTTGTATTCACTAGCGCAACACAAAGGAAAGAATCTTTACATACAGGTTTTAAACTCAACTTTACAAGCAAATTCCAATATACAGTATTTTCTCTGAATTGGTTTTAAAAAAGAAATCTAAGAAAACCAACACTGTAGATATTAAGGTTTCAGCGTAACAGCCGTGTTAGTCTGTATTCGCAAAAAGAAAAGGAGGACTTGTGGCACCTCAGAGACTAACCCATTTATTGGAGCATAAGCTTTCATGAGCTAAATAGTCTCTAAGGTGCCACAAGTCCTCCTTTTCTTTTTGTAGATATTAAGGAAATTTTTTGTAGCTAATACTCAATTTAAGACTTTAAATACCAACACTGGAGATTATATTGTTTTTATTGTGGTGCTTTAAGTAGGCAGTGAGCAGCTTTACCACAACAGTGATTGAAGTACTCTTGAATGTCCTTGATGGCATGATTGTAGATTATTATAGAACTCATGCCTACCAACATGATCATCTATTAAAATCCACTCTGCTTAGTGCTGGCCACTATGATGAGATGAAAAAGAATAGCTATGGCAGCCCAATTCAAGAGTGAATTTCCATTTTAAGGGTATGAGAATGGTAAGAGTATTATGTGCTGTGCAAAAACTGAAACTTCCCCCACCCCATACATGCAATAAACCACTATATGGATGTCTTATGGTAATGACATGCAAACAACAAAATAAACCACTCAAATGGTAGTCAAGTCTTCTAGCTTCTTTACAATAAGTCAGCAGTTAAGACCAAAAATGGACTGTCTTTTACTGATCTATGAGGCAGTATAACTGAACCTCCTTGCAGTCTGATTTTGAACTCTAAAATCGTTTTTATATGAACTATGTGAAAAGACTTTCAGTGGCTATGGTAAATGATTACTTTCACCAACCCCCTGGGTTAGTATTGTATATGGTTCTTAACATCTCCACAATATACTCTAGGAACATTATTCTCCAAGGGCTAAATATTAGTCCCATGAAAGTTTTGCCATTGACTTAAAATGGGATTAAGGAAGTACCAGCTGGGGGAGAGGCAGGGGGGTAGGGGAGGTCTGGAGTTGCATTAGTGTTAAAATTCCATGATTTTAAAAAAAAATAAATACAATACACAATGAAAACTTGCTACACTATATGGATATTCTTACATGCTAGAGTGTACATTAATTCTGTCAGGTGATATAAAGATATCTTGGAAACAGCAACACTTGCAGGAAAATTAGGTTCAAACAAAAAAGCCACTCACAAACAGGAGGCATTTAGATTATTTTAGGCACAACTCCAAGCAATAAAGCTCATTTAAAGTGCAATTTATTTTTTCTTCTCCTTTTGTGTTTTCACTTGTTAAAATACGTAACTTGTTTTGTTTCTGCTTTATACACATTATACTGAACAGTAGTTTAACACTTTTGTGAGTACTGCACAAAACGTCAGACCTGAAACGGATGAAAGTCAGCAATAACCCATTTTAGAAACCTAAAAAAGTTCAGATACATCTAACCCTTTATTTTATTCATTTAGAATCATCGACACCAGTACAGATGAAACAGCTCCATCTTTAAATAAGGTTGTTTCTTCCATTTCAGACTTCGAGTTCCATACAACACCAGCACTTTTTTCCCTTTCACCGGAGTGAGACTTCAGTTTCACTTCATTACCTCTTTCAGTTGTTCATCAACTAACCAGCTTTACCGCACACTCTGGACTTTCTAGACATACATTGCAACCATCCTTGGTAAAGGCATGATAGTAACAGAAATATGTACTTGTGTTTAGGTGAGTGAATGTTTAGCAGAGTTTCAACTCAACACAACTACAATTTAGATTAGCAGCATGGTCTTGTACAAATAGCAACTCTGCTACCCATGGCTCCATTTCTTATTTACTAGTCTGTTAGGATAAAACAGGAAGTGTGAATAAGTGCATGTGTGTGTATATATATTTTCACATCAAGGAATAGGTTACTAAAGTTTCTATACACCCAGGAAGAACCACTTGTTTTTTTGCAAAAAAAATCTGATCTTAAAAACCGTTTTGTATTTTATGAAAAACTTGATGGGCTCTTTTCTTTGTAACTTAATCAGTGAAGGTGCAGATTTAAAAAAATCAACATTTATTTTACTATCTCTTTAAAAGTAAATCGGACTGGTGGAAACTTGGGGCAGAGCGAGGGGAGATGGGAATAAGAGAACGCACTCTGAAATCTCTCTACACCGACAGCATTCCTTTAAATGAAAATAGTCTCCCCTTAGACAAACTGTAGAAAATTAAAAATAAAATCACCTTCCCTTTAAGGAAAGTCAGCTTTCAAAATTTCCATAAAAATCTATACAGACCTGAAAATGAACCAAGAACCTGACCATTTCATCAGCAGTTTTCAAACTCTGGAGAAACACAGCTTACTGTCAGGAGTTAATTTTACAAATACATACAAAATCAGTTTTATTTACTCCTCAAATATTAAGGCCTACTCTGCTTCTGGACAGCAAACAGGATACTCAGGGCCTTTCTAGAAGGAAAAAAACATAATTATAACAGTAGTCTTGTGCTTAGACTTATTTTGATCAATTTATATAACAGCTACTGAATATTAATGCTAAGTAGATTTTTTTTTATATGAATTAACAAAAAACATGGTTCGGTTTTATTTCAGAACTGAATAACTAGATGTGAAATGAACAGATTAAACTAAGTGTACTTACGGATTTCTTTCACCTCACTGCTGATTAAAAGAGAACAATGAGCACTTTGCATTGTTCATGTGTCATCTATTCAAAAGTTTAGGTCACTTGTTTTTTCATTGGGAATGGCCATTCTTGGCGGGGCAAAATTTATTATTGAAGGTTCCTGTGGATATGGAAAAGTGTACTATAATACATCTTCCTTCAGCAAAGGCCTAGAATAGTGTTACTGTGTCTTGTTTCTCTGTTTTATTACACACAAACTAAGTTTTTTGAAAATACTAATTCTGACAGTATTCTGCTACCTGAGTGTCAGGTACATATAAGCTGAAGAAAACAAGATACTACGATTGTGTGGGATACAAGGGTAAATTTTTGGAACACTTTGCTGGATATGCACTTACTCAATCCATAGCGTGTGCATTTACAAACTTTATGCCCCCACAGCTGCCACCTGACAAATATTTGAAGACCACCTTCAGAGAGAATACCTTCCCAGAGAGAGCAGAAATATCTTTCCTTATTTTATTTCCCCACCGAGTTTCTTCCCAGGAGGAAAAAAAAAAAAGTACCCTTCTCTGAAATACTCAGAGTACCAGCTCTGATTATGACATCATAGGATTGCTCAAAGCAAAGCTGCGGGTTTTAGTAAAAAGTAGTTTAAAAAAAAATATGTAAAATAATTTCAAAACCCTACATATACGCCCAAGTTTTGTGCAAACATTTCAAGTCTGATTCTTCAGAGTCTTCCAATAGTAAACAGGAAGTCAATAAATATAAAAGTACAATAAAGTTAAAAGTTCTTAATTAAAATGTATGGTGTGAAACTCTCAGCATAGGTGTCATGGACCCCGTATCCCCAAGGCTCATTATACACCATCTCAAAAGCACCTGCATTAGCAAGTTTTTGCACAAGTATCCTTAGCGCACTGTTTCAAAAATTTACCCAATGTCTATTAAATAACACAAAAGCATACTACAATGCATGGATGGATTGATATTTCTGTGCAATAAGAGCCCTTTCAACCTGTGAGATCTGCTTGCCATCCATGAATGGTGAAGATGAGCTCAAAAGCAAATAGAGCAACATTCTGATACCTGTAGGAAAACAAATCTAGATTAAAACAACATTAAATACATGTCACTAGAGTCATGAGATAATTTTGATAAATACAAAGACTTTGCATAGGCCTCTGGAATACAGAGTAAATTATGGCCAGGAAAAAAAATATGCTAATAGATTAGGTCTCTTTTATTTTCCACTGCTATAAACCTAACTGGTAGTCAGAACCGAAAGATTAGATTGAATAGTGATTTCCCTCTCTGATAGTCCACATCAATAAAAACAACAAATGATTTCTGCAAGCAACCTGCCCTCCTCAAATGCCTAGTGAAGCACCCTGGAAAAGTGTTTAGTGGTCATCACAGGCTTCAGCATTTTTTAAGTATTAAGAGAGACAGAAGAGAAATGTAATCAAGTTGCTAATGCAGGCCACAGGTACAGTTAAGTATAAACCATTATGTTCTCTTAAGAGAAGTTGCACAGGTTTTGGTAGCATCAACTTCCAAACAGGTCAGATTGGAATAGGCAAATATTAATGATAGATTCCACTTTTAATATTCATTCAGGATTTAGATAACAAAGCCATAATTCAAGTAGTCAATATGTGGTAAGCAATTGATGTACGATTCATTCCAATGAGACGTGCATATGGATGTCATGTTTTTAATGTGTCTTTGGTTTAGGGAGGCGGGAATGCCGATTAGAGGCCAAACTATCCCCAGAACGCAAACCGGTATTCTGATCTTGCACATTTTCCTTTCGTTGCGCCAGCGGCCTTGGGATGTTAGTCTTGGAATGGGAGTTCTGAGGTTCTGGAGATAGAAGTATTGGGCTGCTTATTTGTTTAGATTGAACAAAGGAAATAGTTGGTGGGCGAAGTTTAGAAATTCTCTGACGCGGTTTACTCTTTGGGCGTGTCTGACTGGCTGTTGGCTGTGGCGGTGGCGGCAGCTCAGCCTTGGAAGCAGCGGAGCAGTTTGGGGATGACGCAGTATTGGCTACTGTGGGAGGCACTGAAGCTTTCTGGTTCGGGGGCTCTGAAGCTCTTAAAGTCTTTGGCCGAGAAGCCTGGTTTGGGGGTGAAGGTTGACTTTTCACAGCTAACTCAGTCTGCACACCTCTAGCATCCATTTGAGTAGGTGTCTGAAAAGAAGGAAGAAGAGACTGTCGTGTACTATCTTCATGACTAGCCAGCTCTTCAGGTTCTTTAGCACTCTTTTTAACCTTCAAATTCTCCTCAAAAGATTCATTCTCATTCAGGTCCTTTATATTTAAACGTTTACTCAGTAAAAGGTTCAACTCATTCAGGCTATTTGTGTGAGAACCATTTGCAGCATTTTGATTGGGATGATCGTTTTCATGCAGGCCCTGTTTGGGGTATTCACTGTGGGCCTCGATATGTGGTGTTTTTATTAATTTTCCCTGGGCGAGGACTGTGGAACTGGGAAGGCTGCTGGAAGGCTGTAGTACTTGAGGCTGTTAAAAAGAAAATACATTAACATATTAGACTAGGGAAATGTATATAGTTAACATTTTAAACTCAAGGTGTGCTGATCTGGTGCTTGACGCTTACATATTTAGTTTTTGTGTTAAGAAGTTAACTTCGTCAAAACAGGATCCATGGGATACATATAAGTGGAACTGGTAAATTATGCACAAAACAATTATGCCAGCACTAAAATATACATCTCAAAATAAAATGAAAGACAACGAGAGAAACTTATTGATTGATTTAAAGCAAAGAATATAAAAAAGATTGTCAACTAACAATTATATGTTTTGTTCTTTAATTGTATTGCACTGCAGTAACAGAGCTATGTCTGAGTACCAGTAAATTCAGATGCAAATGCCTTGAATAGCTAATAAAATTTGTGAGATTACATCTATTTTATCTTCTGCCCCATGCACATTCCAATTAGCTATCCCAAGCCTTTCATCAATTTTAAGCATTTTTAAGAGTAGGTAAGGACTTTACTGGACAAATTTGTGTTGGAAGTGCATTCTAAAGACACCACTTCTACAGATTTAATTTTCTTGGTGAGCTGAGGACAGAAGACTTGACATAAAGCTTGTCCTAATTAGGTTATTGACTAAATTTACATAGCTATTTCATCCTAAAGCCCATTCAAATGAGCTGGTGGAGATGCACCGTGTAGTGTCTTTCTGGGGACTGTACTGCATTCACCACCAGATAAGCATGGTTTAATGAAGAGACTACATTTTGTCTGAAGGGAGATTCTGGTATTATAAACAAAAGAATCGCCAGTACCTCTTCCGGGTCATTTCTATTTTCCCTTTGCTCTTCCCTGTAAAAAGACTTCAAAGATTAATGTGGCATTTTGCTCTTTAAACTAAACTCTTCTGCATGGAAACTAACAAAAACCTCATCAACCTTGAGTTTGTACACTGATTTTGAAAGAATTGCTCAAGGTTCTGTAATTCATAGCATTTCTCCCCCCCCCCCAACAAAACCTACCATACTGCACTTGAGCTATTAAAATTCAACATCTGATTTGGATAATTTTCTATTTTTCCTTTTTAAAAGATGAACTACAGTCAAATCTAATTTTGAAGACGGCTTAAACAGAGAAGCAGAAAATCATTCTTCCAAAACACACTTGTTTTTGTCTGATTCTATGTACATAACATGTAGTAATAGTGTCATGCAGTATTACAATAAATCAATAAAGCAGGAGCAACATTTCTCATTAGGCTACCTTGACTGAATTTTTTCACCATTATTACACTGAAGAGGAGGATTATTTTGGGGGGTTTGCCTTTATTTTTAATACTTGCTCAAACCGAGTAAACACATTGCAAAGAGCAGTTCAGATTGCTACCCAGATTAACAAGTACCTCAGCTTTCATCGGTTTTCTGACATATACCTGGTATGCTCACTCTTCAGTGGGGTACAGAGTACCTCCATTATAGTTTTCCATAAAGAGCAAATTTAAGGAAAAATAGATCAGGAGAATTTACTAATCTAATTCTGATTTACTGGAGATTTTTCCTTTGGATTTACCAACTCCACCTTTAGCCAAGGGCAAGTTAGAGATTGGACCAGTGACAACAATGACTGACAAAGAGATAAGTGCAGACACACTGAACACAGTGAAAACTGGTGCTTTTATAAAGAAGAAAAGTGTGACAAATTGGAGAGAGGAAGAGTGTCAAAACATTACTTTCATAGTAAACTATTTTTCCCTCCACTGATTATCACCACCAAACTTCAGAGGAGTGTGGTAAACTTCGGCATTTCCTTTTCTACCAAGCAATTCTTCTACAGATACAAAAAGAACGTTTAATAAGCTATTAGCAATTTTTAAATACACAAATTAAAGCTTAAAGAATAAATCCTGGCAAATCTGTCAATTTTTCAATCTTAGTGTAACGGATATGGATAGTACCTTTACCTCAAACTAAAACCTGTTATTCCAAAGAAGACTTGCACAACAAAGAGGGGATGATGTTAGCCCAAATAATTCACTGTTTTGAGAACCCATTTATAAATTCTAAAAAACTGTTGAGAAAATTCTTGAGCACAGACACAAGCAGTCAGAATAGAACCATTCACAATGCATGTGTGCTGAATAAAGAACCAAAATACTTGAACAAAATTAAGATTTTCTAATCCAATTTAGAAAAAACAAATAAGAAGATTATTTTTTATGGCACAAAATACTTTATCAATGTCTATCATACACAAACAGCTGTTCAAAGTTTTTCCCCATTTTTGGTCATAAAGGAAATAAAACAGAAGATATTATGTATGAACATTAAATTACATATGTAGCTATGTGCTAAACTAGCCCAAAAATAATTGAGTCAAATTTTAATCAAAAAGTTTAGTCTATGAAATGTAACACAGTGAAAGAGACAACCTTCATCCCCCACAATGTGTGTAAGTATATCTGAAATACTAGTTAGAAAATGACCTTTTATTTATGCTATATCTGGGTTGCCATTTTATAAAATAGCACAAAAATATTGCTTAAATTGAGTAAAGGCGTGGTAAGCACTTGCATTTGGTATTACAAAATTGCATAGAAGATATTAGCCAAATGCATAAAGGCATACATACCTAAGACATTTTTCATAACCAAAAGATGCCAACAGTTGACCCAAAAGTGGAAAGCAGCATTTGATCTTCTCAGCAAACTATGAATCTTATGACATAGCTTTAGCACAGATAGCTTTGACATCTTCCAGTAAATTTTCAAGTACTAAAAATGTGGCCCCCTGTTTAAAATGAATCACAAGGAGCCTAACACTGATCTCACAAATATGACTTCAGTGGTTAATCCTGATTTATACCACTGGAAGATCAGAATAAGACTGAAATCAGCAATAAATAGTTCATCACAGAAGGAGAGGTTACTTACCTGTAGCTGGAGATTCTTCAAGATGTGGTCCCTATCTGTATTCCACTGATAGTTATGCACCTGCACCATGCACCTGGAGCCAGAGCTTTTCAAAGTGTCCGTCGACCTGGACACGCACCCTTGCATTGCCTTATGGTTTCCCTGAGGTGATAAATGGCGGGGCAGACTACCAGCATCTCCAGTTCCTTCTCCACAGCAGGTCTACTAGATCCACAGCACAGAAGGAGGGTGAATCTGGAATACCAATAGGGACCATACATCTCAAAGAACCCCAGTTACAGGTCACTAACCTCTCATTCTTTTTCAAGCGATGGTCCCTATTGTACTCCACTGAGTGTGATTAACAAAGTAGTACTTAGCTAGGAGAAGGGTGTGAGAAACATGACAGAACTGTGGAACGGAGAACCAGTGCGCCAAAGGAGGCATCCATTGCAGAATCATGCACTAGAGCATAATGAGAAAAAAAGGTGTGTACTGAACTCCACGTGGCTGCCTTACAAATGTCCACAATGGGTACATCAGAGCGCAACAGTAGTTTATGCCTGCACTCTTGTAGAATGGGTCTGTATCCCATCGGGTGGGTACAGTCCTGATAGTTGATAGGAGCGTAAAGCACCCTGAAACCCACTTTGAGATTCTCTGGGTGGAGATGGCCTGCCTAAATGTCTCTGCCACGGCCACGAATAGCTTAAGAGACATCCAGAAGGGCTTCATCCGCTCTAGGTAAAAGGCCAGGGCCCTACAGACACTGAGGAAGTGAAGCAGCTGTTCCTCATTTGAGGCATGTGGTTTGGGAAAGGAGGTTGGCAAATGTATGGGTTGGTTGAGGTGGAAGCAGGAACCCACTTCTGGTAGAAATTTGTGATGAAACCACAGCAAAACTTTATCCTTATAAAACACGGTGAAAGAGGGGGGTTACCATCACAGCTCCAAGTTCGCCAACCCTCCTGCAGACTAGGAAAGCAACCTTTATGGAAAGAAGAGAAAGGGAGCAGGAGGCTAGGAGTTCAAAGGGAGAGTTAATTAATGACGTAAGGAGTAGGTTGAGGTCCCTCTGTGGAGCAATAGGCTGGATTGGGAGGCTTTTACATACCAGGCCCTTCCAGAACCAGGAAGTCAAAGAGTGGGTTAAAACTGAAAGACCCTCCAACAGAGGATGGAAAGCGCTAATAATCACTGCATGCACCCTGCTGGAGTTGAGAGCAAGTCCTGACGCCTTCAGATAGAGGAAATAGTCCAAGACCATTGGCATCCCAATGCTCTTGGACAATACCTTTCTGCTGGGCAGGAGATGAAGTGTTCCCACTTAGCTCAGTAGGATCATCTTGTGTAGTCTGTCCTGTTATTGGAGAGGACCTCACGCACTGCCAATGAACATTCCTGTGCCAGCGGAGGTGTCCATCCAAAAAAACAGGCTGTCAGGTGAAGTATCTGTGGATTGGGGTGTCTGAGTCTGTCGTGTTGTGTGAGCAGTTCCAGAACGTTAGGAACAGTAGTAGAGGATGCAGAGAAGCAGAGGAAACCAGAACTGGGGAGGCCAGAATGGAGTGATCAGGATGACAGTCACCCTCTCCCTCAGAGTTTGTGAAGGATTCGTAGCATGAGTGGTAGAGGAGGGAAGGCATAGTTCACCTGGTTCGACCAGTTGATGACCAGCGTGTCAACAGTTCTGAATGCACTTGATGCTGGTGTGAGATTCAAAGAGGTTCCTGATTGAAGTTCCCCATTGACCAAAAATGTCCACAATGACAGTGTCGTGCAGTTCCCATTCACAATCAGTTGCAAAGTTCCTGCTGAGAGCATAAGCAATCTGCTTCGGGGTCCCTGGTAGGTAAGCCGCTGACAAGAGGATACAGTGTGCAACATGCCATTTCCAGAGGTGCATTTCTTTTGAGCACAGCACTGAGGACCTTGTGCCTCCTTGTTTGCTTATGTAGTGGTGTTATATAACACGACAAGAGTGGATGGATGGTAATGCGTGGCATACCTTGCGTACTACCTCAAGTTCCAGCATGCTGATGCACATCCTGGTTTCTCAAGCGGGCCAAGTTCCTTGTGTCATGGGTTCTTCCATGTTGTGCTCCCCAGTACAT